CTGCTCACACCTTGCTGAAAGTCTCACCCCTTTGGACCTTATTTGCATCTATTTGATCACGGAACAGTGCTTTTCCAGCAGGCTTACCCTCAAACTCGGCTCCATTTACCTGTTGGCCCATACTTGACGCATTGTCATGGCTTCCTCGTCTCCTACGACGTCAATTCCGATCCAAGAACCAGTGTTTCTTCAATTTCTTCATGATGTTCACCATGCTTACCTTCTACTACATCGAGCAATGGCGCTACTACCACCCACTCTCATTCCCAACATTGAACCTACTCCTCTTCCCAGTACAGACGTATGGAATCAACCTGATGGCCTACGACCACACTATTCGGACCAGACCAATGCCTTCATTGACAATGCCCCCATCCCATCGCCGGATCTGGAAGAAGAAGAGACACTTATGGATGAACTGGTGGAAACCCATCTTCCCGAGCCGCACCAACATGTTGCTGCTCCGCCTCCTGATGTTTTACCTGCACCTTCGAAGCTTTCTACTAGAACACCATCACCGCCAAGTCGCAAACAGAAAGCCAAATCTGCTCCAAAGGCTCCTGCCAAGCGTCGTCGCCGCCGTGACCAATCCCGATCCCGCTCCTCGAGCCCATTATCACTCTGGACCTCTGAAGACAAACAGAAACTACGCACTCTGAAGGTTGACGAAAAATCTCGATTTTCATGGAAGGTGATCTCGACCAAGATGGGCAAGTCTGAAGAAGATGTTCGCTCTATGTGGAATAAGATCAAAGACCAACTTGGCTGACCATTGACATATGCGAATCACAAGGAAAAGGTACGTTGCGGTACGGTATTACTGTTTCACCAACCCGTTGGCCTTCATTTTGGGAATTTTCTTCTTGTTTATCTTCAGAACCATGGGCGCTGTTGTCCCATTGAATTCTGACACGTCGTATCACACAACCCGCCAGCCATTTATTATGTCTCTCCGCGTTCACCTGGACCGCTATTGCCAACAGCGAGCTATGTCCCACGAGAGGATCTCACCTACACGACGCTCACGCTCTCCAACCAGGACGTCATCTTCCGCTATGGGCTCTACGTCATTCCGGCACCCACCCAACCGGTCTTCGCCTCCGACACCTCACCGACCGGTTATTTTCCAGTTGGACCTGAAGCCGATGCAACAACTGGCCGTACGCAACCCTTATTACAACATCTTGACCCCCAATGTCGCGGGCAACCTTCCTACGGCCACCTATGACAGCTTGTTCCAGACGTTCAAGGTCATCTACCCGGACTATGCTCGCAGTCATTTCGTTTCAGACCTCAAAACCGTAGTCACCGACACACTGCTACAACGCTGGTCCATACACCTACCAGCGTCGGAGTTCTACATGATGATTGACACCGATCAAGGAGCTCAGATGCTTGACGACCTTCCTCATTCTCTTCTGGATGTTTTGAATTGGTTCTACCCGAGATGGAAAACTCATCAACATCTCGATGCCTTCACGACCCGCGAGTGTTCTCCGTTGCTGCTGACACCACATCCAGATGCACAAGACACTGGCTTTGCTGTACATGTTCAAGTGATTCCCCGTGGACATCCATTCGTCACGGCCACCCGATACACTAAAGCCGCTGAGTGATTAGCTGTCTTGATGGATCTTGACACGGCTCACGTCTATGAGGAAAAAGACCAACATTCGTTGTGATGTCCACCACCCCGGTTCTGATTTTCCCTTGTGTCATCCTTTTCTCGTTTTCCAGTGGGTGATATTCGTTATTTATTCCTTCATCATTGACCTTCCCCACGGCCTTTTGGCTTCAGTTTAGTATTTCCCGCTATCATATTCTTTTGATCGTACATGATGACCTCCAACACGGATGATCCTGCTCGATTGGTCTCGCACGGTTTACCACCTACATCCATACATGGCCTTGCCTCACACTTGCCACCGGATGATCCCACCTCGGCATCCTATATTCCTCGTGCAGCGAGAATGATTCCGACCTCTACCACTGTCCACTCCGTCTTCATCAAGAAGCTGAGCTATCCTTTGTCTAACCGTTCAGATGAACTTTGGATCGTGGAAAGGACACTTGATGGTCTTGAAACGTGGAAACCAGTGGAAACATTCCTGGAGAACATGCACCTCACCAACGACCAGGCAACCTTGCGCACTACAGCTAACCATTGGCGCAGATACTATGATGTACCAATTCAACCATCATCCTCCTCCCCTACGGCAACTACTGTTCCCGTTTTACCACACCCTGAACACTCCAACGTCCATGTCTCACAGCCGTACGAAGCGATACCGGACCACCTCCATATTTTACAGTCATGCTGGGGACGCTCCGCCCAACACCATTCTCAAGGAACCACTACCTCTTTATATTGGCCACCTTGGCGGTCTACACCACCGTCTTCCCCACCGGCAACACTACACCGTACTGTATATCTCACTCGCCCCGCTGTCCCTCCTCAACAAGTACATGGTCCGTTGGATGCGAACGATATTGACCCGATGGATATGTCGGATTCAAGTGTGTAATATACCACATTCTTTGTCGGCGGAAAAAGACCTGTGATTCATCGTCTCTTTGTGTGACCATTTACTAGGTACACCGTTTCTCTTTTATTTCTAACACTTTGTGCTTGTTCCTGTGGCTATTCCAACCCATTTTGCAGCTTGGGCTTTGCGCTTTATCCTCGATACTTCACATTCGACGCAATGGCTCGTTCTTCTCGACCCAATCCATATCGCGCCACATCTACGATTGAGACACCGCTTGGTACACGAACCGTTGGGTGGATTGCTGGACATCGAGGCCTCCCTGGTGATGTGAACCCTCCTCCAAACAGACCTGTCCTTATCTTGGTTGACTTCTCTCCCTTACAGGCATTGACTCACCGAAGCGAACCTGACCGTGAACACTACATGGCTCTGGTGAACTCCAATTTTAGACATGTCAGTGGCTTTGAACTTGCAGCTTTGTTTACCTGGTCACGTCAGATGGAACCAGTTGAAGCCGGCCTCATCCCAATTGCCGAACTCCGCTTTTGTATCTCCAAAAGATTGAGGTCCCAATGGGACATCCAAATTGATCCCTCGAACCTGGAGTTTCGCTTTTGCGACTTGGACGGTGATACATTCCAAGTTTCCAATGATATGACGGTCTTGCAGCTTTTGGAGGCATACCGACCTGAGTGGCGACTTCGGCAGTACAATTCCCGCGAATCCTCTTTCCTCATCCCGGGTACCAGACAGCCTTTCGTACTACGCTTGAAATGCTACAAAATTAGCTCCGGTGTGATCCTGCCCTGATGCACTAGCCGGCCAAAAAAGACCTTGCTACAGGGTTTTCAATTCCTCCTTGACACCCCACTAACACAAAGGATTTTTCGATTTCTATTTTATTTGACTTGGAGCTGTGGCTTCTCCGTCGCAACTGACCCACTTGATTGAGGACTGGATTTCACTTTTTTCATTTTTGTGAATATTATCAATTTCGGGATTGGCTTTCTTCTGCAATTCTTGATGCTTCAGCCGTTGTTGCACTATTTCTCGTATTTGTGACAGTTTCACCCATGGAACACAAACGAGACGCGACCGTGGCGGGCTTGTCTTGGCCTGCGAACTCTACTCGTGGACTCGCTCCTACCGACCCAGTTCAAGTACCAGACGCCTCGACTTCTGCACTATGTCACTCAGGAGCTCCCGACACTACGACCAACCCTACTCCGGCACCTTTGGTAACTGACAGTACGGCACCTGCTACGGGTACACTGGCCCATTCTGATACATATTCAGGACCAGCACCTCCTGGCGTTCCATTTCCGACAGACTCAAGTTCTACACACAACTACTTCCATCGTGCTCAGTTCTCTTCTCGCGTGGTTCACCAGATCCAATTCAAGGTCATTACCCACTCCAACAACACCAGGGAGCTATTCATTGAAGAAATTCCTTTGTTAGGGCATTCCCGATGTCGTGACCCTGAACACTATTTCTATGGTCTCTCCGGCAACTGGGAGTGGTCCCTGCGCACAGCGGACTATTGGCGACATCATTTTGAGATTCCCCTTGTACATGGACACCATCCTTTTCACAATGTGCCCATTGAGACGACATCTCCTGGAGATGAACCAAGGCTGACCACCCGGATCCATGAATTAGCCAAAGATCTATCTGACACCTTGAAGGCTGCTACGGCATCGGGGGAATTCGATCAGACTTGGGCGATGGTTGAACGCATGAGCTTCCACGATGCTATGGAAGTCCTTCTACAAGCTCCGAATTCCTCTTCTGACTGAAGTGACCGCCCTTTTGTACATTAGGTTATTACAGGTTCACTTTCACTGGTGTCTTGCCGATTCCGCCAGCGAAGTTCTTCCAAAAAACCGACCTCGCTACATGCGAGGTGTGTGTGTGTACCATCTGAACAGATGTAAAACTTCTGATTGGTTTTCACTAATTTGCAGGGGGGTGCAGAGCACAGTGGAGACTGCACCCAACGAAGCTATCCACTTGTGCTGGAAGCAGAGTCTGATCAACTCTGTGTACCTGCAAAATTTGGTTTCAACTGTTGATCAAGCTGTTACACTGCGTTGTTTCGAATCTACACGGTTGCCACAATCTGTATTGCATGCATCAGAACCTTCCTCAGATTTTCGCCGAAACCATATCGCCGACAGTATTATGTTTTTTGACTTATTTTCGCCGAGACCCTGTCGCCGACGAACTATGGGTTATTTTGGGAAACAATCGCCGAAACATTATTTTGGATTTCCACATGCTGGTCAAAACTCTATGGAATCTGGTTATGACTACGTTTGACAATTTCGGATGCCCTACATCGTTTGCGAGAAGTACCTCATGTGGCTCTTTTATTCATCTAATAATCTAGGCTGGTTTGCATGTTTCAGGATTCAGTTCCTGCCGGATCATATAATGATCCATTCTTGTCTAGTGTGTGTGTGTGCGTGTTTGTATGCTTTGCAAAAGTGGAAACAAGTTCAACCCGACCTTCTTGCCCTCGGTCAAGAACTTCTGCAGAAGCCCGTCTGCATGGGCTCTGTCCTGCGAAGATTGCACACGGCATGATCATGCATCGAGTCTCACACAAGCCTGGCCAACCCAAACAATGTGGTGGCTGCAGCGCGGAGACTACATTCCAGGTGAGGGAATAAATTTAATTAGGGGTGCAAGTTGAGCTTGCCTCAGGAGAGGCGCAGAGCCTTGCCCGCAGCTTGCAGGCAGCATGCAGCTGCGGGACCCAGTGCGGCGGCGCAAAGCTGTCCGCGCTGTCCTGTGGATGCGTCATAAAACTAGGAAGAACGGTAGAGGTGTGATGCATGCAGAACTGCAGAGTAGACTATCTATCTATCTATCTATCTATCTATCTATCTCTCTCTCTCTATATTAATATATATATATATGATATATATATATATTATATTTAAAGTTATATGTGTATGTTGTGACTGAAAAAAGCGACCGTGGGCCTGGACGATGTCGAGTCCAAGGTGCTCCTCCGCACCGTCGACTCCGGTATGCCACCGGAGTTTTGCGGTGGATTTTGGGAGGAGCAGCTGCCATTTGTGGTCTTCGTCCTGTCATGCAGGGCAGATGTGTGGAACCAGTGAGATCAGCATATGTCCACAGACGCTACACAGCTATCCTGTAGTTGCGCATGTCGTTTCCACAAAATAGCTACCTCGCTATGCATAAGACTAGAAAAAATAAACGGCTGAAGTTGACTGTCCTCGTCCACGACCAAAAGGCCCTTTCCGAGGACGCGCATCCCGGTGCCAGTTTCCGCAAGGAGACAGCGGAACTGGCACACGGGATAGCAGACCCTCCCCGTTTCCGGCCACTGGTCAACGAGGACTTTGTGCAGGAGATTTCACATGGCATATAACATCATATAATTACATTCGTTATTGAAGGACGCTTTTGCGCGTGAGCACGAAAGAAACATTGCGCGCAGCGCCGGCGCCTCGGCCAGGGCGTAGCCGATGGAGGCCTGTCCATCGGTGACGTTCTCGCCCTTCGAGTTGAAGGTGTCGTCAACGACGTGGACTTCGGCCTGCGGGAATCTTAATTGGGGTGGGGGTTCGTGCTCCAGTCATATATGATCGTGCGATGCTATGTAATCATCATTTTTTCTGTAGTATGATGCGACGTTGCACCACTGCTTTACATGACAAAGCTGCAAGCCTCCACGGGGAGCTGCAAGGTCCGCGAGGGAGTGCAGAGCAGCGGGAACCGGGCATATACGCCGTCTGCAAACTCCCCGCGTTCTCGAGCACCTGGCAAAGTTCATTGTCGCGATCATGGGAGAACAATCATCATGGGGCATGGTGGCCATTGCATGCAGAACCGAATAATATGTGCACATGAGGAGAGTTGGGAGCCTCCGTGGCGGAGATGCTGCAGGCCAGCGGCTTGGACGAGTAGATGATGCCACCGTCCTCGCGCTGAGCACAAGTGGAATTTGAACCCAATGAATTTCAAAACACAGATGTGTTCCATGTTTCTCCCTGACTCGATACAGGAGGCACTGCCAGAATACAGTTTTACACAGTCATATACAGTCCTCGCGCCCGCTGACCGCCTCCAAGCGCCGCAGGAAGTGCACGCTCTCGGTCCAGCTGAAGAGGGTCGCGGGTTTGTCTCCTGCAGACACGGTGCCATGCGGGGGAATGCGGAGAAGTTGGTCGGTCAAGTGGCCAGATTTATCTATAAACCTAACTCTATGACGTCGGTCCTCGCATACCCCGGTCCACCGTGTAGAGCGTGACTTCGAGCTCGCGCGACAGACGCGAGGAGTCAAGAGCGGCTACTACCACGGCGAAGTGCCCGGGTAGGAGCACCCGCTCTTGATTGTCCTGCGGCAAGCACGATTGACCCCGGTCACTTAGACTTAGACATGTCTGCCTATATAAGATATGCATACTATGGTGCTCCAAAGTTAGTAACTCGATTATAACCTATAGTTATATCCAAGTTACTAAGTCATAACTTCTTAGCTAACTTTTTGTACCTTTTTTTTGCTATAAAAAAAGTGTCTTTAAAAGTGATCACATTTGATCTTTTTGATGGTTTTGAGTGTTTGCTGCTGTTTGAAGCGTTTTCAACTGCTCAAAAAAATGCCAAATGGAGCGGTTTTCAAACCGCTAAAAGCTGTTTTTGTTGGAACAGCCGTTTTCAGCATGTCAAACACTATAATTAATCACGTGTTAAAACCCAAACTGTGAATGAAGATGTGTTCATGTCCACTAGAGAGGATGTATTGCTTGAAGAAGTGTCCAGGTGTTCACTTTACCTTGGCTAAATGCTGCAGTGTCCCTTTGACAAAACTCAATTTTTGCAGGATATCCTAGATGTCTTCAACGTAATTGCAATATACATCAACATACCCATACCTGCCAACAAATACACGCAGTATTCAAAACAGAAATGCAGCATACCCTTCTTCATAAGTGCAATCTTCCTTTGGAGCAACGCAGTGTGTTTTTGCAGAACAATATCCCTATGAAATACCAAATGTTCTTTTAAAAGATACACCATGCCCTTTGGAGGAGTACAGTGTGCATTTAACAAAATTTCCTTTGAAAGGGGTCCTCAAGGTGAAAGGGGTCCTGGCCTAGAAGCCTCCAAGATTAATTTCGACCGAGTTTTTGCCTTTGTATGAAAAACTTGGTCGAAATTAATCTTGGGGGCTTCGTGCGCATAAGGAACATTCTTGGCCAGGACCTCTTTCACCTTGGGGGTCCCTTTCAAAGGAAATCTTGTTATTTCCACATGTCTAACCTTCCTTTCAAAGGAGCAGTATCCCTTTTAGAAAAGCCAATATTGCTGCACAATATGCAATACTTTTGACATAGAGCATCCCTTTCAAAAAAGCAATATGTTTTGAAATGTGAGATTCTTTCAGAATGTTTTTCTCGCTCCTTACAACAGAGCATTGTCCTTTATGGCAACACAATCTTCCTTTGAAAAAGCAGCATTCGTGGAAACCTGGAGTACTTTTCATTGATATATGTATCTAATCTACTCTAATCTAATCCAATTCAATCCAATCGAATCCAGATATATCTCATCTATATAATCCAATCCAATCCAATCAAACCCAAACAAATCCAATCCAATCCAGTCCAATCCAATCCAATCATATCCAATCCAATCCAATCCAATCTATCTAATCTAGCCAAATCAAATCTAATCCAATCCAATCCTATCCAATTCAATCCAATCCAATCCAGTCAAATCCAATCTATCTGATCTAATCTAATCTAATCCAATCTAATCTAATCCAATCCAATCCTAATCTAATGTAATCTAATCTAATCTAATTCCAATCCAACCCGATCCAATCTAACCTAATCTAATTTTAATCCAATCCAATCCAGTCCAATCCAACCCAACCCATCCCAATGCATTCCAATCCAATCCAATCTATCTCATCTAATCTAATCTAATCTAATTCCAATCCAACCCAATCCAATCCAATCTAACCTACTCTAATCTAACCTTATCTAATGTAATTTCAATCCAATCCAATCCAACCCAATCTAATCTAATCTAATTCCAATCCAATCCAATCTTATTGAAGTGCTGTAAAGGCCTCTGTGGTATATGGGTGGGATATATTGAGATATACTAGGGGAAACTGGGGTTTACTTGGGGATACTACGGTATACTAGGGTATAATACCGTATACCAGGGTATACTGACCGTATACCATGGTATACTGATCGTATACCATGGTATACTGACCGTATACCATGGTATACTGACCGTATACCATGGTATACTGACCGTATATCATGGTATACTGACCGTATACCATGGTATACTGACCGTATACCATGGTATACTGGTGGTATACTGGTGGTATACTGGTGGTATACTGGTGGTATACTGGTGGCAAACTGGTGGAATCTAACCTAATCTGATCCAATCCAATCCAATCCAACCCAATCCAATCCAATCCAACAACCCCATCCAATCCAATCCAATCCAACCTAATCTAATCTAAGCTAATCTAATCCAATCTAATCTAATCTCATTCCAATCCAATCCAATCCAATCTAATTCCAATCCAACAAAACCAAATCCAATCTAACCTAATCTAATCTAATCCAATCCAACCCAACCCAATCTAATCCAACCCACTCAAATCCAATCTATCTAATCTAATCTAACCCAATCTAATCTAATCCAATCTAATCTAATCCAATCCAGCCAATCCAATCCAATCTAATCTAATGTAATCCAATCCAGTCCAATCCAACCCAACCCAATCCAATCCAAGCCAAGCCAATCCAATCTATCTAATCTATTCTAATCTAATCCAATCCAACCCAACCCAATCCAATCCAAGCCAGGCCAATCCAATCTATCTAATCTAATCTAATCCAATCTAATCTAATCCAATCCCTCAGTCCCCCACCCAAGCCTGTAAAGACCTCTGTGGTATATGGGGACGTCTCAAAATGAGGCGCGCCCTTTTTGACCCCCAAAACGCTACTTCAAAAAAAAAAGGGCTCGCCTCATTTTGAGACATTCCCATATGGGTGGGATATATTGGGATGTACTAGGGGAAACTGGGGTTTATAGTCAGCAATGTCAATATCAAAAAACGTACTCATTGGCTGCCTTTGTTTTTCATAGTCTTCTGGCATGTTTTCAAAAATAAGTCAAAAACAAAATTGCTTAATCCCCCTAACCTTCCCCCAAGGATACCTGTTTTTCCTTGGTTTTTACATGGTTTCTAATGGAACCAGAGACCTAAAGCAAGCAGAAACAACCACAAACAAATTTGCAATGCCTAAGGGGGGAAAAGTGGCAAAGAGTTAGATCCTGCCACTTTTTTTGCCAGTCCCTCAAAAGAAACAACGAACCAAGAAAGCAAAACACCAAGAAACCAAAAAAACAAAAACACAACAAAAAAAACAAGATTGCACACCCCAAGGGGAGGGGGTCAGATGCAGTTTGTTGGGTCTTGTTTTTTTTCTTGTTTTTTTGTTTTTTGGTTTCTTTTTTTGTCTTTGTAAAAAGAAAAGAAACTGCAAAGGTGAGATTGCAAAGAGCAAACTAACCCATTGCAGGTGCATAAAGCACCTAAAAAGGCGCGCTCCCACAGTGGCCTGTTCTGTTTAAAAACCAGTTGCACATTCCCTCAGCCATGGAGGCGGTGAAAACCGCGAATTTTTCAAAAAACAACTTCGAAGCGCTATAATTAGAAAAAAATATTGTTTTCGATACAATAAAAACAAGTGTTTTTTCAATTTTTCTAAATGATAAAAATGTGACAAAATAGTTGATATTTGCTTCACTTCATAACTTTTCATAACTTTTTGTATAACTAAAGTTATAACTACTTATAACACAAACGGAGCACCATAGTATAAGTATAATAAGCGACTGCTGCAGTGTGGAAGTGGCCCCGCCTCTTGTTTGCCTCTGCAGCGTCGGCGCTTGGCGCAATGATGATGCTCCTGGACGGCGTCCGCCATGAAGGGCTCATCGTGAAAGATGGCACCTGACCCGCGCATGCATGCATGCATGCATGTGCGTGTTTCCCTGGGCGGCGAAATGGGAAGGGAGGAGAATGGATGCAGAACACGGGGGGTCCAGAAAACCGTTGTTACATGACAGAAACGCCCGCCTTCGGCTTCAGCGTCCTTCTTGGCAGCATCATCTGCAACAGGGAGACAGTTGGAAAGAAAACGTGTGCCATCAAGAAGGTTGCTGCATTTGCATTTGAAGCTGTGAATGATTCAATGGTGCGCAGATGCTCGAATGAACAGCGCGCCTACAAGGGCCGCGGGAGCTTCGGGGGCTGGAATCGCGGCGTCTTCCGCTCTGCCTTCATTAGATCAGATAGACTAGATACATTAGATAGATTAGGTAGATTAGATAAATTATATATATTTGATAGATTCGAAAGATTAGATAGGTTAAATAGCTTAGATAAATTAGGTCGCTTAGACAGCTTAGATAGATCAAATAGATTAGACTAGATATATAGATTAAATAGATTAGATGGATTAGCCAGGTTAGACAGATTAGACAGGTTAGACAGATTAGACAGAGTAGACAGAGTAGACAGATTAGACAGGGTAGACAGATTAGACAGGGTAGACAATGTAGAAAAGGTAGAGAGGGTAGACAGATTAGACAGGATAGACAAGGTAGAGAGGGTAGACAGAGTAGACAGAGTAGACAAACAAGACGGACAGGACAAACAGGACAGATAGGAAAGGGAGGACAGATAGGACAGACAGGACAAGACAGGACAAGACAGGACAAGACAGGACAAGACAGGACAAGACAGGACAAGACAGGACAAGACAGGACAAGACAGGACAAGACAGGACAAGACAGGACAAAACAGGACAGGGCAGGACAAGACAGGACGGACAGACAAGGATAGGATAGGCTAGGATAGGATTTGGATTAGAATTGGGATTAGCATTGAGATCAAGATTAGGATTTGGATTAGGATAGGACAGGATAGAGTAGATAGATTAGATAGGTTAGATAGATTAGACAGACTAGATAGATTAGATAGATCAGATAGATTGAGTAGATAGATCAGATATTTTAGATAGATCAGATAGATCAGAAACTATTCTGTCGATGTGCATGGGCCGTGCAAGAAATCTTGGTCGTTTTAGTTTCCCACAATCCCATTTGTTTGGTACAATGCCTGATTTGACCTCTACCCAGATTACTATAAACGATGTGCTTTGGGGGGAAAAACAGAAAGACCAGATACATTTGTATACATTTATCATCATGTACCCATTGGTTTTTCAGTGGCGGTGACCCACGTAATCAACCAACCGGGCAAAGGACATGGAGTTTTCGGCGCAGTCGATGCTGAGATCCCATTGACAGTACTTGGCCCGGCCGGCCTCTTCCCCACACCAAAGGCTTGTTGCGCACGCGGGTCCGCGTTGGCCAAAAGTGCGGCCCGCGCATAGCCAGGATCTGCCAATTTCGAAGCGATCTTCAGGTGCCCGTGGATGGTTTCCTGCACGACAAAGCACCATGATTTCATGGTGGTTTTAAGCATCAAACATGGGGATTCAACCATAAAGATGATGGTTTTACCATGAAGATATATTGACTTGGTAAAAAACAAGTAGTGCCAAGCAGATTGCTGAGGTATTGCATACAATTAATATCCAGCAAAATCATGCAAATCCCATTGTGCCCCTGCTGTTGCCACTAGACATGGACAGGCACACATCGCCTTGAAACAATGGGCTGCAAGGGGCGTTCCATCACCTCTCTGCATGCAAACCAACCTGCACTCGTGAGAGAAAAAGAAAAACGATCATCTATCAACATCTATCAACTATATCCATAGTGTTGGTTCTAAAAACCCCAATGGATCATGTTTAAATTGCAAGTAACCTCTAGGAATCAACATGGTACGAGTAATGGAAAATATAGTTTTCGTCCCCATTGAAACCTCCATTGAGTTCGGGGAATTTTCCAGATGCTTCATTGCTCAGCCGAAGGCCGAATGAAGGTCGCCCGGCTGGACCGGCTTTATTCTCTAGAATCTAAATGATATATCATCAATCACCGAACAGATGATAATCCTGTCCATCGGGCTTATACCAATTATTGAACAGGATTATAATAGGATTATATATTGTAGTATTCTATACTGTCCAGATTGAATGATAATATATATAATATGTATACAGCTGTATACATATATAAAAGTATTACACACCATTAAACACTGTCCAGACTCCACAGTGTGATGATTCTCCTCACTTTGGTTCAGAAACCATCATTCTCCCCAACTTTAAACCTTGGAGATAAAAGATCATCCCCAACAAAGCTCACCGAAAAGCTGGACGAAGCAATGGAAAAGTATATAGAGTTTCTCATCTTCAGCACATGCTAAATTCCACTGATGGAGATGAAGCACTAAAAATTCCCCAACCTGCTGTGCTTTAAATGAAATCAGAGCTGCATTTTGACCATCTCGGCATGGCCGCTTTTCATGGCAAAGTCCAGCCTGCACGGCAGCCAGTATAACTGGCAATTTACATGTGGAAAATTATGACCAAAAATAATCCATTGGTATTGAGCATACCCCATTTATCAAACCAACCGATGCTTATTTTAAGCTACATTAAGGTCTTTCTTGAGCTTCCTTGACATTTTGGAACAAACCAAGACAGTTTCCGTTGAACTTTGTGCAGCTGGGCTCCCCTACAAGGATTCACTGCCAGTCTTTAGCTCCTGAGGAGGCGGGCTTCAATCAATTGGAGGATTGAAACCATTGATTCCAAAACCAACAATGCATAGATTGGCATAGATGAATATAGATGATAGATTGGGGGGTTCACCAAAGATGTGGATTTTGAATGATCAGATGATCATCGCCATTGAGGGCACACACAGTTTAGCAAAAGACGAAGAACCAGATTCTTGATGAGTCTTGGTACCAGTACTGTCAGGTCTTGAGCCAGTGAAAGTTGCAGTGGAATGCAGTGAATGCAGTGAGATGTGTTTCAAACTTATAAGAACTTATACGATAGATATTGATGATACTTCTAGCCCGGTGAGGCTATAACAGCGCGGCCAACACCGTCACACCTGGATTCAACTACTGGGGCCGATAATTATGGCCATACATTGCACTGGAAATCACTGGAACTGTACCCCCAAGTGAAAAAATTGGCGCTGTTAGACAAATTGGGATTCATGTATCTACCTACAATTTCGGTTACAAACAACTTCATACAATCCAATTTCAAGTTGAATTTCATGGTCATTTTCTTATTTTTGAACCCACATGAAGTTGGTGTCTAGCTCCTATAATAATCACATTTCTGAAGGCTATAGCAACGTGAACGTTGGGCGCACAAAAGAATGTCCGATCCAACCCGGTCCTGATCTGCCTGTGCCGTCAGCAATGCTCGGATGGTCGTGGCCGCAAAGTTGGTCCCCAACTTCGCCGTTTTCGTCAGGAAGGGCTCCAACAGAGGAAGCGCCTCAGGGACAGCCCAAAGACAACACGTGTTTTCTGTGCCAACCGTTTGTTGAGATTTTATGTGTTTTTTGGGGGGAGAAGATTGTGGAGGGAATTTGTTGGGGAGGTCTCATGTATGATTTTTTTGAGGGGGAAAGATGGGGATATGGTATACAATTGACAAACACTATGATTTAGGGGGGCTAAAAACGTGTGATTTACACCCCTTGTTATGACCGTAAAGACTAAGACATCTATGATATATCAACCGGTGGATTTGGGCTATACCTAATCTTTACCTATTTTCGAACAAAACCTTTGACATGAATGATACAACATAAGCGATGAGAAATGCAGTTTGTACAGCTGGTTTAGTTACATCATGTTTTCCCAAATCTATACGTTTCCCTTGCGGAGAAATCGATGCGAGGGAGGTCACAGCAGGGTCACATCAAGGTTTCAATCAATTCCACGATCTTGATTACACACTGGTGAAAGGTGATATGGGCTCAGTACTCAGAGGAGAACCCATTAGATGGAATATATATATATATAAGCAATATAGCTATCCGAATACATCCCACTTTCCTACAGTATGGTCCGGGTTCCGTATTTCCTGAAACGTGTGGCGTGGAACTCGGAACCCAAAAATCCAATTTCCGCTGGGTTCTGTTTTTGGGCTCAGCCCTCTTGGCATGTATTGCAATATGAGTAACCGAAGGAATTTTAGAAGTCAAACTTGCGCCAGTATGGACAGATGGAAAAGCAGATGGGAAGAGTCAGAGAAGAGAAGAGAAGAGAAGAGAAGAGAAGAGAAGAAAGGAGAAGAGAAGCGAAGCGAAGCGAAGCGAAGCGAAGCGAAGGGAAGAGAAGAGAAGAGAAGAGAAGAGAAGAGAAGAGAAGAGAAGAGAAGAGAAGAGAAGAAGAGAGAAGATCAGAGAAGAGAAAGAGTCAGAAGAAAGAAGATGCACTCGCGTGAAAATGTTTAAAAAATGGCGAAACACTGTGTTTTTCCAATGTTTTGTGGCTCCGGGTGGTCCAAAAGTAGGCTCGCTAAAGCGGCGGGTGCGGAGCCATCTGGCGGGATGCGAGAGTAAAAATTGCACGCCGTTGTGGCGCGAAGCACATTTCGAAGACAAACAACTAAAAACACATCACATTCGGAGCACTTTTGGAAGTTGAGATGATGGAAAAAGTGCACGACGTTGAGGCGCGAAGCACATTTCCGAGTCCAAATGTGCAAAGCACACCCTTCCCAGAACACTCTTGGAAGTTGAGATGATGAAAAAGTGCACGCCGTTGTGGCGCGAAGCGCGTTTCCAAGTCAAAATGTGCAAAACACACCAGCTTCGGAGCACTTTTGGAAGTTGAGATGTCGAACAAGTCTACGCCGTTGTGGCGCGAAGGACATTTCCAAGTCAAAATGTTAAAGACACCACATGTTAGACCACTTTTGGACGTTCAGATGTCGTTTCGCGTGGCCGGCGCAAGGGATTCAGCACCTTGTCAAAAGTGAGCAAAACGTGAAGGTTTTGTAGCAGTTTCAAGAGGATCTGCAAAGATGCATTTTCCGTGGCAAGCGCAGTACAAAAGACGTGTTCATGAGAGATGTTAGGAGGTCAGGGCGCTGATTTCCTGCGAGGGGTTGCATTTTGGAGCATCAGATCTTCAGTTTTGGTAAGATGATTTTGTATGATTTTGTGTGACACGTGCAGCACTTCGTATGACCTGGCCTCACTTTTTCGTGGCAGGCGCAGCACTTTACACAGATGGAATGGAAAAAGAGCTAAACACATTGGTACGAGGCCGTCAGCTCTGCACTCAACTTTCCATTTTTGAAAGAAGTCTCGCAGAATTGCTTCATTTTTGATGTTGTCAACTTCGAACATTGAGGAAGTCTGGCAGAATTGCATCGTTTTTGAAATCGTCAAGCAAAAAAGGGAAAGCCTCGCAGAATTGCTTCGTTTTCAAACTTGCAGAAAGACAGACAGACAGATAGATAGGTAGATAGCTAGCTAGCTAGATAGCTAGATAGCTAGAGAACTGCAACTGCAACTGCAACTGCAACAACAACCACACTACACTACCACTACAAATACAAAATACACTACGCTACAGTACACTAATTACACTACACTACGCTATACTAATTACATTACACTACGCTACACTACATTACGCTACACTACGCTAATTACATAACACTACACTAAACTACAACTACACTACACTACATTACACAACACCACACTACACTATAATTACACAACACTACAACTACAACTCCAACTGCAACTACGGCTACAACTACAACAACAACTACCACTACAACACGACTACAACACGACTACAACACGACTACAACACGACTACAACTTCAACTACAACTTCAACTGCACTTCAACTACGCAACAGCTACAAACCACAACTTCAACTTCAACTACACTTCAGCTACATTACAACTACAGCTACAACTACAACTCCAACTACAGGCCAACTACAGGCCAACTACGCTTCAACTACAACAACTACAGCTACAACTTCAACTACGCTTCAAATTACAGCTACAGCAACTACAACAACAACTGCAAAAACTACACTACAACTGCACTACAACTGCAACCGCAACTACAGATGCAGCTACAACTACAACTTCAACTGGAATTACATTGCGCTTCGCTACACCACACTACATCCTGCATTTGCTGGTGAGGTGACCACAGCAACCACTCCAAAAATCATAACCACCTTTCGGTCCATCAATGGATTCGCTCTACCGTCCATGCATCACAACAACTCACCTCTCCTATAGTTTGGTATCTTTGAAACTTCCGCCACCGCCTTGTGCGGTACTACTGGTACCCGAGTAATACCTGATTTAGACACGATTTTCATTCTGAAATGAGAAGACTCCCATTGTCAATTGTACTTCTTTTTGGCCAGAGCCATTTTAGTTCGCGACTTACAGCCGTTGGCCCTACCCTACTGTTCGAAGGATTATGGAAAAGCAAAATCAGGCGAAAAGAAAATCACTCTACGCAAAGGTGAAATTAAAAACAGGCAATCTGTACAAGATTCTATTAAACAGGGGTTTATGTACACGTATCGTTCTACAAAGGAGTATTGGCAAATAGTTATTTGATTCCGTGCCTGTCGATTGTCATTTTTGTCAGTATTATCTAGTATGATCCTTATTGCGATCACTATCAGTATTAATTGTCGCTACATCACTATTAATTATTACTATTACATGCATGAGATTTCAGTGAAAGTCCTTACAATTTGTGCTGACATAACTCTTTGCCATGGTGGGTGTTGGTTACATCCATCGGCAGCCCCAGCCTCATAGCATGTCAGCACCGCGATCATTAGTCGTCCTGAGAATTGAGGGTCAAACTTGGAGCCCTGCTGCGGACCTGCAGCTTATATCAAGAAAATTCATAAGGTTGACATATTTCAATATCATATTCTCATCAAATTTTCCTCAGATTCTTATCATATTCTTATCAAATAGAAAGCCTCAACCACTGAAGAGCCAAGACCAAAATGGCCAACATCTACTGCCCTGGCAATGGAACAGCTCCTGCTTCTCGCCAGCGAAGGAAGTCAGAGTCCGCAGGAGGCAGTCTAGCCTAAGTCCCAGGGGCTTCTAGCAAGAGCAACCAGTAAGGCATAGAAATTAAGGCATAGTAAGGCTATTAACACACATTCACACGTATTAAAACATGTTTAAACACATCTAGAAACATCCAAAGGCTAAGGTAACTAAGGATAAGTGAGGTACACAAACACACACTTGCTCAGAAACATCTTATCGAATTACTGATGTGGAATGCATCGTACGTGCAAAAAACACTCCAGTAAACCTGACAGGAAATGGTGAATGACCAGGCGTGAGAAACAGTGTAGAAGAATTCTGCCGCTGAAACTGTAACAACGTAGTGGACAGCGTGTTCAACAGTTAAAAACTATCTGCAGGTACACAACTGGGCGTCCCCAATTGCTTCCCCTTCAGTGACATAGCTTCGTTGGGCAAGGTGGTCACTGAAGGCCTTGCCCCCCTGCTTTTGTTGGAAAATCAAATGAAAAAGCCAAAAAGGCAATGTCAAATTGGAAAACCATTGAAGCACATCATCAAGCAAGTAAGAAGTTTTACATCTTTTCAGATGGTCCACACACACACCCTCCCGCAGGAGGGTGGGACAAAAAGGTCCCGACAATGAGATGAAAATGAAGAGGAAGGGAAATGAAGATGAGGTGAAGATGACAATGAGATGAAAGTTACTTAACCAGGACGCAAAGAGGGGAACGCAAAAGAAAAGGGAAAGAGCAAACACCAACACATGAAACCTAGCCCAGAACGGGCAACCCTGGAAAGGCAAGGGAAAAGAAAAGCGGAGGCCGACGGAAAACGGAACAAGACCAGCGGAGGAGGGGGAGGACAGAAGCGCCTGAACCAACCTGACACGGCGAAAACCTACAACAACCTCAGCACGCAACGGGCCAAACCTACCTGGAGAGAGGAGAACGCAAGAACACATGAAAAAGGGACCCATGGGGAACTAGTTAATGACATGATGCATCCACAACGCGTGCAAAATTCGTGATAAGGCTCAAAGGCCCTCGGCTTTCAAGTCACAACCCTCTGGACGGCTTACGTGTTCAACCCCTGAATTAGGTGCACAATTTCAACCTCACCGAGAAACCAAAAAAGGAAGTGGCCAAACCTGGAAAGCATGTCCTGTAGCCTTCACATGGTAACATGTCATGTGAAAATGTCGAGCTCCGTACTCTCTTGGGCATCATTGCAAAACGGATGTTGTCGCGGCTTCCAGCTATGCAGAACATGGTGAAAATGGAAAAGGCGATGCCCAGCACTGCGGCAAGCAGTTTCAACACTCACTCGACCGACAGAGTGAAACCTGAAAAGTGAACGGCTGTTTCACTTTACTTAGACGAATTACTAATTCAAAAGTGTAAATTCAGAGATCGTTTTACTGTCAATTGTTAGCCTAGAAAGGCTTTCCCCGAAGGGCTCATACCACCTTGTCGGAATTCGGCATGAGTGACACACTTGCTCAGAAACATCTTATCGAATTACTGATGTGGAATGCATCGTACGTGCAAAAAACACTCCAGTAAACCTGACAGGAAATGGTGAATGACCAGGCGTGAGAAACAGTCTAGAAGAATTCTGCCGCTGAAACTGTAACAACGTAGTGGACAGCGTGTTCAACAGTTAAAAACTATCTGCAGGTACACAACTGGGCGTCCCCAGTTGCTTCCCCTTCAGTGACATAGCTTCGTTGGGCAAGGTGGTCACTGAAGGCCTTGCCCCCCTGCTTTTGTTGGAAAATCAAATGAAAAAGCCAAAAAGGCAATGTCAAATTGGAAAGCCATTGAAGCACATCATCAAGCAAGTAAGAAGTTTTACATCTTTTCAGATGGTCCACACACACACACACGCAAACAAACACAGACAGACACACACACACACTAGACAAGACAAGAACTGGATCATTTGAGTGATCCGTTGGGATCTGAACCCCTTCAATATGTAATCAGAAAAGATATATGAGCCTATGAAGTCATTCATGAGGTAGTATCTAATCTTATAGATCAAGTTCCGATAATCCAGATCGCGAACAGAAACTTAACCACAAAGCCTCAACAAGTGAATGTAAATAAGCCAGGTTGAAATCAAGCATCTCCAAAATCAGAGAGGAATCCGCCGACCCCGGCAGACGCAAGGGGGAGCGCGCCAGGGAATAAGAGATTTGAAGACATTTGATTGCGATTGCAACGCGTAATTCCGTCCTTCAGTGCCATGATGTTTTCCTGTCCGGCAGATGCGTTTTTTCATGGCAAAAGGATGCTGAAGCAGCAGAAAGGCAGCAGGCGGCAGGCAGCAGGCGGCAGGCAGCAGTGAGGAAGCAGCAGGCAGGAGGCAGGCCAGACCACCACCACCACCATCACCACCACCACCACCACCAGCAGCAGCAGCAGCAGTAGACACGAGGAGGGGAACGCAAAAGAAGAGGGAAGGAGCAAACACCAACACAAACATACCTTGCCCGGAGCGGGCAAGCCCTGAAAGGGCAAGAAAAGAGAAACGCGGAGGCCGACGGAAACGGAACAAGACCAGCGGTGGAGGGGAGGATGGAAGCGCCTGAGCCAACCTACCACAGCGAAACCTACGTCTACCTAGGCACGCACAGGACCCAACCTACCTAGAGAGGGAAGGACGCATGAAATAGGGGACCAAATGGGGAACTAGTTGGTGAAATCAGCTGAAACAACAAAATTATGAGGGATTCCGTTCCTAAATGCAAGGCCGTGCGTTATTCCCTCGAAGGGGCAGTCGTCGGTCAACCCACAGGTGGGCATTAAACAGCTATGCAAATCTTCACGAATTAGGTGCACAACTTGTCAACCTCACCAGATACCAAGAAGACCACGCCTGCAGGAAAAGGACATGCCTGTTGCCTGAAATCATGCATGAATGTAGCCAGCATGTGGAACTGTCAGTAATGCATCGAAAAAAAGGTTTCTGGCTGTTCCGTACAGCTTCGCTTGAGCAGAGCTGAGATTGCCGAGGTGTTGCAAAAGCGACGGGAGCAGCGGGACAAAGTGGCTGGCAAACGGAATGGCCGACTGCTTCACTATACGTAGACGAATTACCAGGTAAAAATGTGTAAATTTGGAGATTCGTTTGTCTGCATTCACCCTAAAGAGGGTTCCCTCACATGGGTCCACAGCACCATGTCGGAACAACCATGGAGATCACACTAGACAAGAACTGGATCATTTGAGTGATCCGTTGGGATCTGAACCCCTTCAATACGTAATCAGAAAAGAATACGAGCCTATGAAGTCATTCATGAGGTAGTATCCAATCTTATAGATCAAGTTCCGATAATCCAGATCGCGAACAGAAACTTAACCACAAAGCCTCAACAAGTGAATGTAAATAAGCCAGGTTGAAATCAAGCATCTCCAAAATCAGAGAGGAATAACTTAAGGTCAAATATCAGATTGCGGCAAACGTGCAAAGCATGAACTGACGTCAGGTAGGGGTTCTCGGCTTAGGCCCGTGCAATGCCGATCAGAAAATAGAACTTGCAGGTACGTTTACACCACCATGCTGTCTGGTCTTCGTTGGCCAGGACAGGCAGTCATGGGTTGCTGCCCCCCTGCTTTTACGATTTGAAGTTTTACATCTGTTCAGATGTTTCACACACACACACACCCGCACACACACACACACCCACACACACACACACCCACACACACACTCACACTAAGTATCTCATAATGACATAGTGCAAAAATCATTGGATGTTTGAATTGCAAACTTCGGCCATGGTGCAATGTTAGCACACCACCAGGGTAGAATCTGCTCCGCCATGCGATGCAGGCACTTGCCCAAGCGTGGACCCTGCCACGAACGGGCGATGCTACCAAGGGCCATGAATTGGCAAAATGATGCAAAATGGCTTTGGTACATGTTGGACCTGAAAACACATATTTGACTGTTTAGATCTTTATGAATCTTTCGAACCTCATTTTGCTTATGAAATTTCCGTTTGGCGGCTTTCCCAGTTTCAGACTGCAGCGCAGACAAACCATGACAGACCCAGCGAGATGTGTTGGAAACTGATCGGCGCCTTGAGCATCATGACTGACAAGGTGAGTTCCAAAGTATCGAACAACTTCTGCTTCAGAGCCAACTCAAATGGAAGAACCTCAGAGATGCAGCTGTCAGAAATGATCAGAAATGAGACCACAGCTAGAAACTGTGGCCAACAAAACCGCAACTCCTAACATCACGGAGCGCCTGCTCAGCATTTTCCACACAGACTGCTAGACTCCAGTCGCATCTCATTTTTCTGGAGCCGAACTGAGGGAATTCACCAAGAAACCCCATGATCATCTTCCAGCCAAGGATTGCTACCTGCTGCCAGCAGGACACGAGTGGCCTTCAGGGCTCCATGCTGACAGGTGTAGTGCAGGGCACTGCGACCGTTCCTTGGAACAATCCACCATTGGGAAGGACACGAGACTGAGAGAATTCTGATGATGAGGCAGTAAAATCCATGGTAAAACCACGATTTCCTTTAAGTTTAAAATGTGCCTTAAATCAAACACATCTGAAAGTGTTGTTGAAGCCGCATATGAGCAAGTATGAAACACAAACGTTGACCTCTCAATTTTTTGGACGAACAAAGTTTGGGTCGAACAGTAAGAAATTTAGATGGGATCAACATTTTTACCATGATTTGTTTCCAGCAGTTCGATGTTTTTGATTTTGAAATCAGGTTGTCCAATGCTTTTAAGCACACTGCTGAAATCATGCCAGCGCCACCAAAAAAGCCGCATTTCACTTGCAATGTCTGGCACAACAGTATTTTTTTGCAAACGCCGCCAGTAGCGACGAGGGGAAAACCTTCATTTTGTGATAGCAGTTGGTTTCATGTTCGTTTCGTACGTTGCTTGTACCACATGTTCACATAAACATGTGCGCATACTCACTCCATGCTCCGCCAGGAACGGTTAGGTCGGGGTTGGGGTTGGATGTGGCGGGGTACAAAACATGCTGCACTGCAGCCTGGACTTACCGCCATTGCCCGTTCCATTTTGCAAACAGTTTTTTTCGGGTCTGCAACTGAACATAAGCTTAGTTGTACGAGTTCAGGAATTGTCAAGCTCTAGGGGAAATTCCGTGCAACTCAGATTCTGCAGGTTTCTGTGATTTTGACCTTGGCTTCTTTTGGAGCTTTGGAGTTGCTTTGTGGAGTTGGACTAGCATGGCATTTGCCGATATTTGCCGTTTGCTTGAGCTGATGGGTTCGACTGACCCATAGTCAAATTCCTAATGTCAGTGGTCAATACACCGAACTGCTGGCAGTTCACCTCTGAAAACTCCGTTGCTTCCGGGGAATCAAATCAGGGTAAATCAGAAATCCACCCAATGTATCCCGTAGCCAATAACGAAGCCCAGTTTTTCGCGCACCAGGGACCCAGGTGTGGACCCAGGTGGCGTATCAACCCAAATGACTTGAGCCGGGAGGCTTGTCTTTGGTGCCCTGTCCGGAGACTTTGTAGATCTTCACCAATTCAGCCAAGTCCTCGCGCCAACTATACCAAGGGAGCAACCCCCAATTTTGGGCAAAATATCCAAAATATCAAGCATCCTGATTTCTCAGCCGGGATTTGAAATGCCCTGTAATCTGACAAAAATTGACAAAAGCAAATGAGCAGCAACTGCCTTTCTTGCTAGTTACATCCCCAGTCTGTTGGTCATAGCCATAGCCCTTTCTTGTCTTGGCTGTATCTCTTTTTCCGTTTTGGTTGTACAAGTAAAAGGAATGGGGGTTTTACCCAAACATGATGTACTACGATTGGGGTTTAAGCAACAGAACTGGACGTTTCAGTGACAGAAATAGGGGCGCAATTCGCACAAGGGCAGTGAAAGGATTTGGGAATTTCCCTGTGGATCCCTGTAGTGCATGTAAGAAATTCTCATGGAGAGCTAGTTATGGTAATGATTAGCAAAGTTATGAACATCATTTGGTACATGTAATTACCAATTATGAATTCCCAAAATCCTTGAACATCATGAACCATGATGCATTGAAAATCACTTTTCACTCAATCTGCCAAACATGTTCACATGCAACATGAGATATTGCACCTCCTCACTATTCTGCACGGCGGCTTCAAAGATCAGCTCATTCACCTCTCGCTGGGCCTGAGATGCGGCTGAGGAGAATGGCCTATGGAAAGGGTTGAAACCATTGGAATACCATTGGAACCCCCTATCTCAACATATCTCAACAATATCTCAACAATATCTCAACAATATCTCAACAATATCTCAACAATATCTCAACAATATCTCAATCTTTGTGCGGATAGGGTCAATGATCTAAGTCTGAAATAACGCTCACAAAACATATAGAACAAAGAACTTTTGTGAGGAAACGAAGTAAAAGGGGAGATTAAACAACCAGAAATAAGTTATATTCAAGGAAAAATACCAGAGAAAAACATGCTATCATTTTGCCATCTCAGTCTACAACTGAGCTTGTGTGCCATTGGTTTTCTCCATGGTTCCACCCAACGGGGGCATCACCTCAAACATTCTCGAACTAACATCTACACCCTCTGGTAATTTAACATAGCTATTGAAAATGACCATTTATAGTGGATTTTCCCATAAACAATGATGATTTTCCATAGCTATGTTAGTTTACCAGAGGGTAGTTGTTGTGGATATCTCTGTGCTTTCTCCAATTTGGTGGCTATCAAATAGCTATCATCCACACATATGTTGGGCTACCTAGTGGAACAATTGGGATCCCCATTTGTAGCAACGCTGTTCAAGCGCCCAGCCACGCGATATGCCTTGTGACCCCCGGATTTCTTCACCTCTTGGATACCTCGAGGCAGAGAATTGATTGGTTGTTTTCATCATTAAAACTGCCGATCACCCGGGGGATTCCATTCAGAGCAATGATATAAAAGGACCCCCTGGGCTTTCCTTGTTTCCTTGTATGTGTTTTTTCACTTGAAACCAAATCATCATGGTGGTTGTAATTTTTTTTCACCAAAACCAAGACCTTATTCAGGCAATTCTGCCACTTGATTGTGGCTCAAAATCCCCAAAAAATGGTTTTATCCGCAAAAGAACCTCCAGCATCGCATGGCCATGCTAATCTTGGATACTCCAAACATCCGGATTCGTTTGAAAATGGGGTATACACCCAATTATGGCCAGCTGATTTGGGCAACTAGGATTTTCCCCGGTCGATCTCAAGGTCTTCCCAGTCGACGCCTTTGATCTGCATCTGCACTTCGCAGATCACACCACTCCTGAGATGGTGACCAGGGTGACCATGCGGTCCATGCTGGAACTCTTATGGTAAACTGGGTAAACCATGCCCAATTTACCCAATCAGAAACCACTTGGAACAAAAAACATGACAGAGATGGTAATCTTGGGTTGATGTTACCTGATCGACTCCGAAACATTCCTGACACCACCTTGGACAACATAGTTGTCTTTCAAATTTCAAGTTGTGAGCAGGTTTTTGTCACACGAGATTTGTATGTTTGATGATGTCTGTAAAAATACATATTCTACATACGAGTATGCATGCAATGGAGAAGAACTTACCCAGTTTTAGAGTCCAGGGGCTGTCAGACTCTGCTAAAAACACATCAGTTCTTCCAATCTTGGCGCACATAGGTCTAAAAAACGGTATCTATATAGGTGAGAAAATTGAACACATGGATTTTTCCAGGTTTTTCCCACACTAAGGAAATTTACGCCCCATTTTACCGCTAATTTCATTGAGAAAAATCCATGATAAACTCCTGGATAGCCATGTTCCTTGGGCTATGCGGGACTGTCCTCTGGATACCCAACGGCCCTGACTGCTGCTTCGGAGCATGTCAAACAGCAGAGTGATGTCCCGATAGCCATCGTGACCTACGACAGCCCGGGGATTGCGAAACAATGGATGCAGCAACTAGTTGCGAAATGACACGGTCACTGGAGATTTGGGATTCTATTCTTTTCATGTTTGAGTGTTGTAGATCATCCATCACAACAAACAATGACTGAGGGTCAAACGCTTCTCAACATAGATACACGTCCCTATTCCATCCTATTCCTGTGTCCCATCATCTTCGCTTTTGTTCCTGTGCCAAACTACTCAACCCCCACCTCTTCTCGAGTCTGCGATTTGCTTAATGGGCCTTCGAAAATAAAACATGTTCTCAGTAGCTTCCCCAAACGGTGGACTTTACCATAAAAAGGAGGAACCATCAGAAAAAATATAATATAGGTTGGCCCAAAATCGGGGCACACCTAAAATTCCTAAAAATCTCATCGTTTCCCCCGTTCTCAATTGCTGGCCCATCACCCATTTTCAGACAAACTCGTACCTATCATTCATTGTTTAAACACTATTTTCGACGGTTTATCCTCATATTCATTGGTACATCCCATTTTGAAACAATGCCGTGCATCATATATTGATGGTTATACATCTCACTACATCCCAAAAGATATCATGTTGCATGGTTGGCAAAGGTGTTACCTCCATGTTTGTCTTGACCAGCCAGGAGATATTCACGACACCATTGACATTGTCTGAAAATAGGGCATCCATTCCATCCACTGGTCATAGAATGTTCCCTCTTACAATTGCCATATTAAAAACTAAAATCTGACACACACACACAATTTGGATATGGTTTGAAATGTACAGTATATAATATTGACATATATATATATATATTATGTATATTAATATATCGCATGATATCCCCATGAATATCTCAATAGATCTCATCATAAATCCCTGGGAAAAGACCGTATTTTCTGTCCAGTCACAGAATTGGAACCGGTCGTTGACCTCCATGACCCGAAAGTCGTGTCTTGGCTGATCATGGTCCTCCTGGGACCATGGTGACCATGGGACGACCGCACCATTTATCCGGGTTGGATGGTACCTTGATGCCATGTGAAAACACACCAACCCGGGATGCCAGGAAGTCCTTCCCAACCGAATAAATCCATGTTTTTTGTGTCCAATATCAGTGTGACGAGATTGCTGCCTTCAATGCGTCACATTGGATTGATTAGGACAGCGTCATCCAGCATAAGAGAAATTGGAGTTACCATCATAAACCCCATGCAAACACGGCGGAAACAGCGCGCCCTGCCCCAACCCCCAGGAACACCGAACAGAAAACTCAGAAAACCCTTCAAACATGGACACCTCAGAAACCGCCTAAAGCATAGGACGGATCCTCAAACCAGCCCCGGGCACCGATCTTGGTTATGTCGCTTATCTTGAGAACTTGATTAACAGTAAATCTAACGAAATCCGCTGTCTGGGTTGCAGATTTCAGAAAGCTTGACCCATAGCCATTGGCTGGGGCCACAATGGGCTTGTCATGTGCACGAAGAAACCATTCTAGTTTTAGTTTGTAAACCATCCTGAGGCCACTAGCCAGTTGAGCATCATCTTCAACCGCCTCAACATGACCATCATCACCATCACACGGCCAATCTTATTTATATATATACACATATAGCATTTATTGAAGCTGGTTTGCATATTCCTCCATTTGTGACAAAAGATGAAAGAGTACTACTTGTTTAAACATTGCTGTCATCATGTCTTTTATTCTCCTGGTCATGATCATGGTTGGTGGCGGGATGTTCATCTTTGGGCACTAATGTAAGGGTCCTTAAACAGATAGAAAGTTTTTCCAGGATGGTAGTTCGATGATGTTTTCGGCATAGGTTCCAGGTGTCCAACTTCTCTATCTATTTGGGGGGTGCTATAATAGTCTACAATGGGCTTTGAAACAATTCACTACAAAGTGAAGTAGCAGTAGAAGCACTAGGACTGTACAAATACCTTCAAATACGCCTTACTCCCCAACATCCGCAACATCCGCGCGGGGCTTCGGCTAAAACCAAGATGTTGCCGGGCTCGTCCTTCAGTATGAAGAACAAGGCAGAGTAGACCTGGAGGGAAAATCTCTGGATTGGAAATCTGCAACCATCTGAACACAACAGTTGAAGGGATCTTAAGCTATGTTCCAGCAACGCATAGCTGCATAGCTTGACCCCATTACCAATCGAGTTGCCACCATGATACCCCAATCCGGCTAGCATCAACCAAGTTTCAACAAAAACAATTTCGCTAAAACAAACGTAACAGTTGCGGCTTTGTTTTAGCGTCATCGGGTATCCCAACATCCAGTGGTTTATTATCGTTCTCTCCATGAAACCAACCATTTGTTGGGGATAAATCTCTGATTTGTTGGACAATTGCATAGCCCGATCAAAACTATCAGCCCCAAAACATGGATGGTTTAACAATTCCCTCCCCTCTAATGTTCAATACCCCCAATGTTTGGGACTCCACTGCATGAAAGATCAAGAATTAATTAACCATGCTTTTTAGGAGCTATCATGACATGGCTAGTCATATATCCCTGTATATCACCATTAATTACATCAACATTTTTGATTGGTGAATGCTGGTTAAGTTACATCTCTATTGCTTAAACAAGGTAACTGCTAACAACATCTGGGTGGTGAACCCTGTCTATGTCTATTTGGGATGATACCACATCACGACAAGCCTCCGGCAATCAAACGTGGCTAGCTGGAAAATCCACCATTTAGATCTTATTTTTTTTTCCCAGTTATAAACCTCCATTTAGTTTTGGGGATTCTCCAGCCCCATTAAATGCTCATTAAATGCCCATTAAATGCCCATTAAATGCCCATTCAATGCCCATTCAATGCCCATTAAATGCCCATTAGATGCCCATTAAATGCCCATTAAATGCCCATTAAATGCCCATTACATCTCATTAATATCCCATGTCTATCCCATCACACCACCCCCCTTTTGGCTCTGCCGCGCCTCCGCGATGGTTGGATAGATCAGCGAGGCTCTCATCACATCCGTCAAGCAACTCGCGTCGCTGCCGTAGCGCGTTAAGACCTGGCCGAGTCTATGGTGAAACTTGTGGGATTTCCTTGGCGATGAATGGATTTTTCGGGATTTAAAGATATTAAAAAGGGAATTTGTTGACCCATTGGGTGTGTTTGAGGAAAAGTACGTCCGGTTGAAACCATGGTTTTGCAAGCAAAATCTGGGATCAAACGAAACGGGATAGCGACAGACAATTTCAATTGATATGGATAACAAATTAGAGTTAGCCAAACACTTACTGGTGCGTTTTACGTAGGGAATGGATGGCTTGCTGGGGGTTGCTGGGATGATTATTACTAGTGACTATGGATCATTCCCGAAAATTCCCTGCGTAAAACGCACCAGTAAGATGTGGATCCAAGAAGAGGGATGGGCGACAACCCATGGCACTTTGTGCTACCCTGTATGCATCAAGTTTCTGGGGTATCAATGGCATAAAATGCACTCACATCCATCTGTGGGTTTGATAATTTGTATCTAAAATTGAATCTCAATCAACACTTGACTATATTCAAATCCATTTTGCTAGGAGTCGAGCATACATTTGAATCTCAACTGTTGCAACCCACGCGGATTTCAAACCAAGGCGTTGCTAGTCTTGGATCACCTGCCCAAGAAAATGGCAGGGTGCAAATAAAAATAAACAACACGTTAGCAAACACTAGCAAACAAATCATATAAACCTACTGTTCGCCACATCAGTGTACCCAAACATGGGGACCCCCAAATCGTCCGCAACGATCCATCTTGGAATTCCAATCATGCCTTGTTTGCGCAAAAGAGGGTGGTGTTACACATACCAATTGCCATCAGTTTTACCCAACTGTCTTGCTTGTGAAAAATGGTGGCTTACCTTTATCTTACCTTTGTCATGCACCAAGGAGCCTTGGTTTCGTCGCGACTCCAAACATATCTCCATAGTCCCATGATATCACCATTTTTGTTGGTTAAACCACGTTAAACCTGTGCCCTGGCCACAGGATCACAGCCAATCCCACCTTGGCTCTGGCGCGATCATAGCTCTTCATGGGTGCGATGGTAGCAATCCCTCTTGTGCCACTGGCCAATCGTTGCACCTGTGCAGCGTCGGCGGCGTAGGAGGCACAACAAAACACCACCAGTTTGTAGACAAAGTGGTTTTTGGTTGAAATATCATGAAATATCTTTGCAGGTGCCCACAAAATATGATGTTTGCATAGATTATATAAGTTGTATCTTTTAGATTCTTTTAGTACTAACCACATCTAATACCACCGTTTTTGTTGGGTGTTTGTTCACCTTGGTGCCGTCCCCGCCTCCTCCTCAAATTTCTTCAACCAGCGATTGTTGACTTGATACCTCCAGCGGACCACCAGGCTCCAGGTACAAACATAGCTATGGTATAGATGGCCCATACCCATTTATAGACCATAAAGACCTATTGAAAGGGCGAAATTCCATATGTTTCAATACCAGAGGGTACCATTATTTCAACTATCCATGATTCACAACCCCGTGCCTTAAAAACAACCTTGTTCTTGAGAAGTCATACCCAGTCAAAAGTGGTCAAACTCTGCGCGACAGCAATGTCATCCATGGCCATGATAATCGCGGTCACTCAACATGAACATACAATGCGCAGGATAGGCTTTCAGTGGGTGTCTGAGAATTGGGTATCCCTCAATATTTCAAGAACCACCATGAAATCCTATGAACATTGAACCGCTTTTCCGACCAAATGTGGGATCTCCATGTTCAAAGCTGGTATTAGAATCGTTAGTTCCAATATGTTCCGATCCCTACAAAGCCATTCCCCCTAAGATTCTCCCAGCTGGATCCAGTTCTAAGCCAGAAATGGGGGTATATCAATCTATCCCCCTACATGTTCAAACCCGGTGAGCCAAGACACAGATATTTGAGTCCCAAAATTTCGAAGCCCAAGTCCTGCCGTACGCGGCCATGTCGATAGCTGCGTACCAGCTCAGCCCTGGTCGAGCCCGGTCTATAGGGGAGGTCAGGGTGAGACATGTTTTTGGTCAATGCCCAAATTATGGGTTTGTCAGAAAAAGGGGAAATATATCCCTATGTAATGGGATTACAATATATATATATATGTATATGTATATGATAATGGGGGTATAATGGGAGAACAGTGGGATTACAATGGGATAGTATGGGATATATAACTAAATCAATGTAATTTGGGTATGTCTGACAATGGAGGATATGTCCAAAGTAACATTTTTTAGTGGGCAAATGAGGATACACCAGTGGAGATAGGGGTACCCCACTTCCGGACAAACCCAAAACAAATCAACTCCAGGACCTCAGGTTTTATGTTTGTTTTGGGGGGCTTCAACGTTGGCTCCATTTGAACATATTTGAACATATCAATCATTCCATGGTTAAAATCTCAGGGAATGTATAGGAGTAGGTGAGTAGGTGCATGGGTCTCAAGAAATTCACCAGTTTCAAAGGAACACTGTGTTGTTGCTTCCAGGTGCGCGTTTTTGGGAGGGCAGGCAGTAGCACTGCCGCTCAAAATAGCAAAGTATAGGTAAGTACAGTAATGAAAACCCGAGGCTTTTTGTTGTGACATCTATCTAGAAAACGAAAACGACGACGACGAGGAGAAAAATTGTAATAATAATGATGATAATCCTTTTCAATAAATATATATATATAATTATATATATATATTTATACATATAATGATAATTATATATATACATATATAGCTTGAATAAAAATTATATAATGATACTAATGATTGGGTCAAGCAACTTGGCATTTCACCCGTCAACTACATGTTATTTCGGTATGGTACTTTCCTCCATCAACTTTCCCAACCCACATCAGCTAGCAGTGCAGATATAAAGCACGACATAGAAATGGATTTGAATCACACATTAAAAATACTTGTAAAAAGGACGATTCTAGCATACAATGTATCCAGGTTTGGTGAGTTATCCAAAACCAGACTACTTTCCAAGCCGCCAGTGATGACAAGCAACACTTCAGGCACTTGCGAGGAAACTTCCTCTGGGCCACCTGCTTCTTCGAAAGCATCAGTGTAGCTACCTGGAGGTGATCAAAACCCCCTGGAACCGCTTGGCAATGGGTCAAGTTCTTAGGGTATGGACCAAAAAAATCTGGCTGGTGATTTTTTGGACCTCAAAGATCCTCAGACCGACTCAGACCATCAATCATTGATTTTTAAGGGGAAATGTGCCATAAAGCATAGTAAGACTCCTGTTTCATGCGAAAATACACCCAAACTTAAGTGGGTTTGCCCAAAAATTGAGGATACTCCTTTTCTCGCCGTTCCAATGCAATGGAGAGATGACGAACCACGGGAATTCGGGGTATCCCCCATGTTTTGGACTTCCTGCAGGGTCCCATGATGTCCCATGAGTTCAAGCCACTGATCATTTCGCACTCCAGTTCTTCGAAGCCGCAGGATCTGTCAACCACCTGCACCGTTTGAAATGGCCACTGTCCTTAAGGTTTTCCAAAAACACCATGCACATTCCATGCACCATAATTATGGTCCAAAAATATGGTGGTCAACACATGGTTTATGGTCATCCTGTCCATCATTTGATTCGGAATATGATGAGTTTATGGTCATCCGAATCTATGGATGGACCATCCCCGAATCTTGGACAAGCACATTTTGAGTGGAGAAATTACAGGGCCAGTGTTTGGCGATCGATTTTTGAGGACGAACTTCACTCATGAATTGGGCAGAAAATGTCAAATCAATCGTCAAATCTCCATAGATTTCGATACAAATCCTGACCAAGTCGACCCACTGAAGGTGTCAATAAGTGACAAATGCTCAGTAAGTCCCCTGGATTTTATCCCACTTTTAAAAAAGTGGCTAGTCACTAACCAGTTACGATCCGTGGGATGATCCACAAAAAGCGCCGTAAAATATGCCGCGGTCACCTTCGGCGCACGTCGCTGGAGTTTCTCTTTGACGCTCTGTTCAACTTCCGCACGGCGAACGCAGGTCATCAAGGCCTGCATCGGTGCAAACATGATGGATTTAAACCGACAAAGATATAGAGGTCTAACCATCAGAAACTGGGGATTTCATAGATTTAACTTGATTTACCCTCCAGTAAATTAACAGTTGGACCCTGAAAATCACCCATGTTTAATGGAAACTAATCTTCCAACCTCTATCTGCCAGGGTCTATGTTTATTTACCAGAGGGTAACCAATGATGGAAAATGCGTATCCCAAAATTAAGAGCTTAGAAACTGATATCAATTGGCCGACTGCAAGTAGCTTTCATTCACTGGGGACCAGCATCTCAAGTCGCCACGACCAAAAATGTGAGTTTAGACCATCTACCCCGTGATTGCTGGTTGAGACTGCGTTTTAAAATCCCTGTTGTTGGTTTGACCACCGTCTTGGCTGGTTAAATCAGGATGTGTTAAAAGTAGGTCGCCATACGGGGTTTATCTGAACATAGGGCACCTTCAAATTTGATGGTTAAATCAGCATTTTGATATTAAAACTACAGTTTTGTGGGTATATAAATATATACATATATATAATGTTATACAAGTATATAGCCCGTTTTCAGACGCACCCAATACCCATCAATCACCGCTCGCTTCTGTTCCACCCCCCGTCCCACTGCTGCCTCGTAAACCCCAAACTTCTCGTCGAACGAGGGCTGAAAGAGATCGCAAAGCTCCTACACAAAAAGGGGGCTCGCAAGGTGGGCATCAATTGGCAGAAACAACCTTCGGTTAGTAATTAGCAGTTGAGATTGTAATTCCGAAAGCTTGGTAACACGACTCTAGGAATTTTACTATCCGGGAGCTCGACTGGATCATCGGGGCACCAATTCCGGCTGAGCCTGGTGTCACCCAGTGAGGTGGTTGTCAATAGTCCAAACCGACGAACAGCCATCGACAATAGTGGACAAAACATGCATACAAATATAATGGGAATATTCGTTGGTTACAGTACTGTCCATTGTTTGGAGGTGAGAATGTGCAATTATTCACATTTGTCGTGAGAATATACATATATATGTGCATATATGCATGTATGTATGTATGTATGTATGCATGTACGTAGGGTAGGTAGGTAGGTAGGTAGGTAGGCGGGCAGGTAGGTAGGTAGGCAGGCAGGCAGGTAGGTAGGTAGGTATGTGTATGTATGTGTATGTATATGTCTATGTATGTCTATGTATGTCTATGTATGTCTATGTATGTCTATGTATGTCTATGTATGTGTATGTATGTGTATGTCTATGTATGTGTATGTATGTGTATGCATGTGTATGTATGTGTATGTATGTGTATGTATATGTGCATCTGCATGTGCATGTAATGTTATGTAATGTTATGTTATGTAATGTTATGTAATGTTATGTTATGTAATGTTATGTTATGTAGGTATGTATGTACATACGTATGTGCGTACGTACGTACGTATGTATGTATAAATAAATAAATAAAATGTTGTTTGGGGATAATAAAAACCAAGAATTCATCATTGCTCAGCACTGGGGTAATAAATAGTTGATCATAGACAATTGATATTAATTGTTGGTTGGGAAGTGAAACAAAGAATTCTCATTTTTTTTTGTCGCTCCCCAAACTCCATCCCGCGTTGATGGGATTCTTCCCAGGGCACCTTCGGAAGGATGACTTTGCAGCACTTGGAAGCTCCCGAAGTTGATGTCACCAGCGTATTGTAGCATACCCCAGTTCAACGAAAAAATACTGGTCTTTGGTGGAGATTTGTCGCTTCTATTTTCCTCGTTCCTGCCATCCCTGCCGATCCCCACTGCAAACCCTTTGGACCTTGACTCTGAAGGCTAAGAATTGCAGCGTGCTGTGGTGATTCATCGTTGATCTTCGACGGCTCTTGGCAAAAGCATAGGCCACGAAACGCGACAAATAGTTCCACCTTTCGCGAATGGAACACCTTTTCTTGGAAGGTCTTGCAACGGGATTGCAAAACATGAGTTATACACATCCTTTGTTAAGAACTACATAATGAGAACTCAGAAGTAACCAGTAACATGCCGAGACATGCCGAGACATATGTACGGCTGGGAGTATATCAGCAGTCATCTCCAGGACTGGCCTTTTTTTTCTGGGACCCCTGAGAAGTGTTCGGGACTTCATTGCGATACACCAAACAGCTCAACTTAAACAGCAACAACTGTCACAGACTGTCCACAGCACTCATTGTTTTGGTGTTTTTTTTGCACTGACGTTTCATGACCTGTAATATAGGTTTGATTGAAAATTGAGTACCCCAACCCCGCATGGTTTGTATACCATCATATGTCCCCATCAAAGTGAGAATTTTAAGGGACATTCTCCACTTTCGGACAAACTCATATCACATTTTTTGATATTTTTTCCTGATATATTATATTGCCATATATTGCCATATATTACCATATATTACCATATATTACCATATATTACCATATATTACCATATATTACCATCAATCCATATCTTTTTTGTAAGGTCCTATCATGTCCCATGTCCCATCCTGCTCCCACCATTTTTTAAAAAATGGCCTCCTTTTGGCGCGGACTCGACCCATGTCCTGCCCCATGTGACGCAAAACAGGACGACAAAACCACCCCATTCTCACTACGGTCTCCAGAATTGGGACTGTTCTCCCGACATTACCCAGTCTAATTACATATGCATATATATATATATATAGTGTGTATGTATATATATATATATGTATGTATATATATATATTAATATGTATATATATATGTGTGTGTGTGTGGTTGGCTGATAGAGAGATTCCCCGTTGGTGGAGTAGACCATAATCCCATTCAACCACTTCAAGATACAAACCAACCAGCTACAAACCATCAGAAAAAACTTCCCATCATTTTGCTTCCCAGATCTCCATATCTTTGTTGCTTCCTCCATGAAACCTCCATCATCTCTCGGGTGAATTCCCCCAGATTCTCCTTGACCCTCGTGGACTCTGCCGGATTGGGCCGTCGTGGGATGGGCCCCTGCAGGGACCATTTCGCCCACATCTCTGTCGCCTGGGCAAACTTCGTAAATGTGTTTTATGTATAAATATATATATATAGAAAAAATAGATAGATATTTTGTATATATGTTATATATGTATGTGCAATTCTGTGTATATATCATATATGCGTATGTGTATACCTATATGTGTATGTGTAAATTATATATATATGTATATATGTATATATATATATATGATCTAGTATGGATATACTATGATACACCTGAATTTGATGGGATCCATTGAACTGTATTGGGTGTATTAGGCATAGGATGGCTTATGCCCCACAGCACCATGCCTGGGACTTGATCGCATTATGTTAAACGGCATCTCTCAAACGTGGGCACCCCACGGTTTATCACATAAATGCAATGTGAAGATGGAAAATGGCGATAAACTATCAAAAATGACATTCGCATTTTAATGGTATCGCCATTTTAATGACATTTACCACATTAAACCACAGTTTATCATAAAAATTGCCCAATGACATTGCCATTTTAATGTGGTGAATCCCAAGTTGAGACAACGCCCAGTCAGTCCCAGAAACACAGCCCTTCAACTCGGCATCGCGGTGGGTCAAGGCCAGAATTGCCACTTTTTTAAGATCAAACTGCGCCGCAGGCGACGGTCACGGTCACGGTCGGCCCATGGATAATGTGATTATGAAACACCAGATACATTTAATAGGTCAAAAACATTGTCATATATGGTTCAAACTCCTATCTTTGTTTGTCGCAGAGTTTTTGGTACTTCAGCCATGGTTGACACCGATCTTTGGCACCTTTGAGCCACCAGAAATGAGCATCCAATGGCTTAAAACCGCCATTTCCTTCAATCAAATGACCATAGATTCTGTAAATCCTCCCAATTTGGGGTATCCAAATGGATCATCAGCTTGCCTTCAAGTCTTCAGTCACTTGTTGCTGCTTTTCCACTTCTTCTGAGACCTCCCGAAATCTGGCAAGTTATTGAGCCCATCTTCCACAAATGCGGCTGCAAACTTTCTGCAGCTGACAGTGTTCTGATCATCACTAGGATGACTTTAAAAAACATCCCTTGACTCCCTGACCTTGTGTTCCCCAAGCTCCACATTTTGATCATCTTTACCACACCTAGAACTCTCTCCGGACACCCAACGCCCGGGAAAGTAAAAGGCCCTGCCTGTTCCGCCTCCCACTGCCACCTCTTGTCCTGGTGTCGCTGGAAGTGCGACAGCATAAACCTGTTGATAGCTGGCCAGCAGTTAGGATGGGATTCGCCACCGAACAACATAATGGGAATATCATGGGGAATATGATGATGGGAATATCATGGGGAATATCATACTGGGAATGTGATAATGGGAATATCATGGGGAATACGATGATGGGAATATCATGGAGAATATGATAATGGGAATGTGATAATGGGAATATCATGGGGAATACGATGATGGGAATATCATGGGGAATATCATACTGGGAATGTGATAATGGGAATATCATGGGGAATACGATGATGGGAATATCATCAAGAGAATATGATAATGGGAATGTGATAATGGGAATATCATGGGGAATACGATGATGGGAATATCATGGGGAATATGAAAATGGGAATGTGATAATGGGAATATCATGGGAAATACGATGATGGGAATATCATGGGGAATATCATACTGGGAATGTGATAATGGGAATATCATGGGGAATACGATGATGGGAATATCATGGAGAATATGATAATGGGAATGTGATAATGGGAATATCATGGGGAATACGATGATGGGAATATCATGGGGAATATGATAATGGGAATGTGATAATGGGAATATCATGGGGAATACGATGATGGGAATATCATGAAGAATATGATAATGGGAATGTGATAATGGGAATATCATGGGGAATACGATGATGGGAATATCATGGGGAATATGAAAATGGGAATGTGATAATGGGAATATCATGGGAAATACGATGATGGGAATATCATGGGGAAGATGATAATGGGAATGTGACAATGGGAATATCATGGGGATTACGATGATGGGAATATCATGGGGAATATGATAAATGGGAGTGTGACAATGGGAATATCATGGGGAATATTATATTGGGAATGTGATAATGGGAAAATCAGGGGGAAGATGATAATGGGAATATCATGGGGAATTTCATGGGGAATTTCATGGGGAATATCATGGGGAATATCATGGAGAATATCATGGGGAATATGAAAATGGGAATTTGATAATGGGAATATCATGGGGAATATGATAGTGGGAATATCACGGGAAAATCATGGGGAATATGTTAATGGGAATATCATGGGGAATGTCACGCGGAATAGGATACTGTAATGGGAATACCATGGGGAATATGATACTGGAATATCATGGCGAATATGATACTGTAATGGGCATATCATGGTGCATGTCATGGGGTATATGATACTGCAACGGGAATATCATGGGGAATATTTTGGGGAACATGATACTGGTAATGTGACCATGGGAGTATAATGGGGAATATGATACTGCAACGGGAAGATCATGGGGAATATGATATATAATGGGAATGTGATAATGGGAGTCCGCCGGCCTGCCGGCGTGTCTGGGTGGAAGGTGTTGTTCTTGTTTCTGTTCTTTGCTTGTACTGGTTCCTTTGTTCTCTTGCTGCGCGTTTTTGCTTCGTCTGAATCAAAGTCACCCCCCTCTTCCCCCTCCCCCCTCCCCCTTCCAAGTACAAGTACAAGCAATATTTCTACTACTACTACTACTACTACTACTACGACTACTACGACTACTACGACTACTACGACTACTACGACTACTACGACTACTACGACTACTACGACTACTACGACTACTACGACTACTACGACTACTACGACTACTACGACTCCTACGACTCCTACGACTCCTACTCCTACGCCTACTCCGACGCCTACTCCGACGCCTCTACTCCTCTACTCCTCTACTCCTTCCTCGCTTCTTTCCCAAGTACTACGCTGGTAGTGCCGGTAGCTAATGACGTTGCCTACAGCATTACCGTCGTCTACAGGTACTCGTCACAGGACGCACACGGTACTGATCGACCACTACTCATTTGGTATGCGTTCCATTGGTTGTTCAATCACGCACTTGCTACTCTTCTGATCTACGGCTCTGTCTTCGTCTCTTCTTCTCTCAGGCTTCCACCTAGCGTGCACGTCAACCTCCCCTGGGGCAATCTCTTTCCCCTGCCTCCTTCCATGCAGCGGTCTGCTGTCAAGCCAGAGGCTCATACATAGTACCTGGCGCTACTTTGCTGGGGACGGTACTAATTTGGTATACTGTCAATAGGTTGTTACAACCTTGCTGCACAAGCCGCTTCCGTTTTACGGCTTTGTCTTCGTCTTCCTTTCTTGTTCTTCTTATTCTTCCTATTCGTCTTATTCTTCTTATTCTTCTTAAGTATTCTTCTTATTCTTCTTATTCTTCTTATTCTTCTTATTCTTCTTATTCTTCTTCTCCCTCTTTTCTCTTCTGCTCTCTCGCGGGCTTCCACCTAGAATGCGCATCAAAATCCCTTGGGGCCACCTCTCTATGGCCGGCGGGCTTGCCGAAGGCAATGGAATATCATGGGGAATATCATGGGGAATATGAATGGGAATGTGATAATGGGAATATCATGGGGAATATGATACTGTAAGGGAGTATCATGGGGAATATCATGGGGAATGTGATAATGGGAATATCATGGGGAATATTATGGGGAATATCATCGTGAACATGATAATGGGAATGTGAAAATGGGAATATCATGGGGAATATGCCCGATTCACCCAACCTAGGGCAAGTTGAATTGGGAAAATGTGGCGTTAATCCATTAAAATTGGGGGATACCCCATCTTCAGACAAATCCATATAGCGAACACCATTAGCTTCTAGTCCCATTGTCTTGGATCTTCAGCACATCCATCTTATCAGCAGATAGCGCGTGATAGTGTACCCTCTCTTTGGACACAAACATCTGACAAGATTAGCTTGCCCATGAGATGTGGTGAACAGCCATGCCTCCCCATTTTGTTGGTTAACCCATATTAAACCTCCATTGTTGTTGGTTAAATCTCTATCTATCCCAGTTTTAGTTGGTTCGTGTCTCCATTGCTGCTGGTTGAAACACCATTGTCGCCGCAAAATGTCCCTTTGATTGCCAAATAAATTATCATGCATTTTTGTTACTTTATTGAAACAGTTTTTCTGGTCACGCAAACATATTCAGGAAACACTTGGTCAATGAACATATCTAAGCAACCCAAAAAAAATCAGCAAATAGACAAGTACCATCCACCATAATTCACTTCACCACTATTCTAATATGTTTCTGCATCTTTTTTGGGTGGCTGTTATTTTTGCTACGTCCCCCGCCTGGTGCGTTGCAACTCCTCAGAAGTTAAGGACAGTTGCCGCTCTGCCTCCCGCAGGCGCCATCGCAGCACGCGCTCCTTACAGCCCCACGTTGTACTCAGCTTGGACAGCTCAGGGGAGAAAATGTGAAATCAAAAATGGTACAATGTGGCCCCCCCAGTTATAAGTTGGTTTATAAGCCCCAGTAACTATAGTTATAAGTACCATAAACCATAGTTCTTGGACCTATAAACCAACTTAGCTATCTTGGGGGCCTCACATTGTATAATATATATATATGTATATTACAATATATATCTGGTTGGTGGTATACCTACCCCTCTGAAAAAATGAAAGTCAGTTGGGAGCATTATTTCCAATATATTGAAAAATGACAATCATAAAGTGACTTATGGCCAAAAAATGGTAGCCATATAAATTACATGGCTTTATTTGAAATCAAAATGGCAATATATTACAATATATTCATCTTTAAGTGACTTATGGCCTATATAATATGATCCAGTTTCGCCGACCAAAAAGTGGTTATGACGATTCATATGGGGGGTGCAGCAATATTAATGGGGGGTTGAGCAACCAAGAATTGCGATTTGAACAACAACCAAGGAGGTTGAAAGAGGCAGTGGATTGGCGAACTCAAGCCAGTATCTAGTTCCTTTCAACCTCAAGTCATCTATTTGAGGATCTATTCAAACGTTGGAAATCCAAGAATAGGCTCCGAAACGGAAGATAGTTTGAATAGATCCTCAAATATAGCCTCAAAAATATAGCTGATTATAGCTGAACTGTCCAATATATGGCCAACTTTGGCACTCCGAAAAAAAAAAAGTTTTGGTACACCACGATGACCGGCATATGACCGGCTTGTTCCGGGACTGAACTTCTCCAAGGAGAGTGCCAAGCCCAGGTTTAACCGTGTCCAAGGCGTGTAGTTCCAGAGAACCTCAAGCCTTGAGTCTATTTGTATTATGTATATATATATATATGTATGTTTGTAAATATATATATATATATATATAATTATATATATATACACAAAATAGATACTGTGTGTAATCATGCGTGAATATTTGTACATGTATGTATAACATTGTATAACTGTTATGTTTCACATTTAAAAAAAAAACACATCTCCAGAGTGCCCAGGAGACGCCGAGACACGGTACAATACGCTGAGGGCTGCGGTTCTGCCGGTATCCTGGGAGTTCCAGCCTCAGCGCAGCCTATGCGGTTTTTTAAGGAAGATGAACCATCCAAAAACCGTGGTTTAATCAATGAATAATCAATGAATTAAACATGGTTTATGGATTGGAATGGAACATGTATAGGACATATTCTGGCTTTTAACCCACCATTTTCCTGATGGGATGAGGATTTTCATGGGGAAATCCACCAAAATTGGGGATCCCAAATGATTGGACCACCAGAAATGTGGCGCTGTCCGAAAACGACCCCGGTGGCATCGGCCAAGTGGGTCCAAAGCCTCCAACAAAGCCCTGGTAGCCCTGGTAAAGCTGATGGGAAATCCATCGAAAAATATATGAAAATCAGGATATGTGGATGGAAATCAATGAAAAACATCAGCAATATATGGAAATCCAATATCCATGAAAATCATCCATGAAATGGATGGATTCCGCATTGCCAGCAGTCCAAGATGTCCAAGGTCCAAGGCACTCTGGATGTTGGCGTAGCCACTCGCCGTCCACGAGTTGTAGTGCCTTGGAGTCTGTGCGCAATAAAATTGAGAACTTTGGGTTTTGGGGTTCCAGTGATATTCCAGTGATATTCCGCATTTCTGGGATCAGGTCGGTGAATTCTGGGGGACCTGTACCCGTCATGGGGCAAGGCTGAACACCGGCGAGGTAGGCCCCATGGATGGATGAGCTGAAAAAATGCCGATTTCAGAAGATATTTCCATATATCTTCCATTGCGATAGTTGATTTGCCAGATTGTCATTAGTTCATCTTAGACTTCATCTGAATATCTCATTTCTTAATGTGTCTTAATTCATGGAGTTTTTTCCAATGGCTATCTAGGGAAAATTAATGGGAAAATGATGGTCATCCCATGGATTTGGGGTTCATCCATTGGATTATCATCACTTTCCCATCATTTTCCCATCATTTTCCCATATTTTCAAACAGACCCACCTTCACGCCCAAAATATGCTGCCGAACGGCTCGCTGGGCGACCGGAGGTCCTGGGAGTGGCCGCCTGTTGCAGATCCCGCAGTCGCTTAGTAAGCAAGCGACTGGGTATAGAGATCCAACACAAAAAAACTACCAGTTATATGTGATATATATATATATACATTGATATACAGTATAATATGTATACAGTATATATATATATATAAACTATATTACAGTATATGATACGCCACAATAATTCACGAGATATTATGTTTGAGAAATTCTAAGCCAGTTCCGAACAATCACTCCGAACTTCAGTGGTTCTCCCAATTCAGTGCCTAGAAACACTTCAGCAAAGGGCCCCTGCCTCCGGGCTCTCATTTCTCGTCTTGTACATTCGGCTCTCTGCCCGCCATGGCGCAACGGCGCCACCGAAATTTCATCACGACACATGCTAGTGATATCTAGTGAATCTAGTGATCATGCCAACTTGGGTACAAACTCATTCAAGACCTAGCTGTTCAATGGAGCAGTACAACAAAAAAACACTCCTCCAATCCTCCGATCACCGCACTTTGGCGGCACTCCGCAACGGAAAACAGCTCAACAAAGGTGAAACCAGGAAAGACTCTCAAAACTGGATATTTGGACACTGGAAGGAACTCCAAATCATTAATTTCTATGGTGGTCCTTAGGGATTGATTTGATATGGCCGAAGAATATCAAACGATCACCAATTTCTGTGCTACTAGTAGGAGATCAATTGGATGAACAGTCAGAGATGTGTCCCACCACTGCGGAGGCCCATCCTAGGCGCCCCTGAGTGCCATTGCGCTTGAGTATCAAAGCCTTGTTGGAAGGCCTGTCGGATGAGAAACTCCCGGATTTCCAACGTGCTCAACACCGGCATGATCCGCTTTGAAACTGTGGTTGATCTCTGGATTTGCGGAACATTTTGGCCATGACCAGTTGTTACAATTTCTGGAATTGAGTGAATTTGGAGATCAATTTACCGAATTTACCTTGTGCCAGGCTCACAGTGCCAATGGACGCGCCTTGTAGGTGGTCTGCCAACTCCCCTTAGAGGAAACTGGAACCGAATCCTTCTCCTGTGCGCAGAAAATCTGCTAGGAATTGGCGCCGGGATTTTTGAAAATTGGGGTACCCTGAAGCGTTGGTTTCTGTATTAAAACATATTGACAATGACACTTACCAAGTATGGATGATTTTGGGGTGTCTATTTTAGGCACCCTTCAAACGCTTCTATTCTTCCATGAATTGGTCAAGAAAAAAACCAGAAGAACCCTTGTTTTTGCCGAGAAAAAATATGCCCAAGGCAACCAATTCAGGCGACCTCCAGCGGCATCCGCTCAGAGAAAAACGTGTATTTCGAAGCTCGCAGTGGCCTCCAATGATAGCGAGGTATCACCATGAAGAAAAATTGGACAAAACAAAACACACACATCATTGGATGACATCATCTAATGAAACGACTACTCCAGGTGCCAGGCTTGGAGGTCTCCGGCAAGGCATCCTTGATCCAGCAGATCGTATGTCGACACACTGGGGTGTTTGTATGTGTACATATGTGTACAAATGTAGAAATCTAATGATTTCTATACACATAAATATTTATGCGTATAAGAAACATACATAAATATATGTATATAAAATGGATCATAGTAAAACTACGTATAAATACATGTACTTATCCAAGTATCATATACAGAAACCTGAATTTCCCCGTCTCGTTCAATCTTTTTCTTCAACCGCTCTAGTGCCGTTGACCCCCCCACGACCATACGCTACTAGGCACCTGGTAGGTAGTGCGCCATGCAGTTTTGGAATCTGACTCCTGTGCTGGGTAGGTAGCGGCCGCCTGTCGCGTATTAAAAATTGCAGGCAGTGAACAAATAAATGGCCCATTGATAGATGATTTATCATGATTTACCTATAAAATCATATAAACAATGATGATTCTCCATAGCTGTGCCAAATTACCAGAGGCTAAATGCTGAATCCTCCATGGTGTCAAAGGGAAACCAGCTACTTGTCTCTTGAAAGGCAACTTCTGCACCTCATCTGTGGTCACTTGGTTGCCTTAAAATCTGTCAAAATTGTTCATAAAATCATACTATTATCGTTCCTCTCGCACCAAAAAAGAATATAAAAGAATCATATTATGGATGGTTTACAACATTGTGTAACACTAGTAGGATGTTTACGATGGATGATTATAGATAGTTTAACACTATGGGTGATGTATCCCCAATTGCTTTACTGACACTATCCACCACCCCTTACCAAACCCTCAGGGCTCCCATCCTCAGGAAGTTCGCAGGCCACCCGCTCAGAAAACAGGGCGTATTTGGCAGCCCGGCTGGGCCTGCGATATACAAGTCTCATGGGAAAAATCCGAAGGAACTTAGGTTTGTATATTCTTGTGTGTCAATGTGTGTATAGTAGATATAGATATAGATATAGATATATGTGTGTGGATATATATATATATATGTGTGTGGATATACGTATGTATGGACATATATTATGTGAATATATATGTATATGTATATATATATATATGTGTATATATATATGTATATATATATATACATACTAACCGCAAAAAATGCAGAAAAACAAAATCCACATCTTGAGATAATGCAAGTCAAGTGTAAACTTCCTTTGGTACCTGCAAATTTTGGTGAAACCCCCTAAACCAATGGTTAGTCATCATTTTCCATATTATTTGATGCTATTTGAAAGCAAGGGGTGTAAATATGTATATATATTTATATATATATATACACATACATATATATATATATATATATATATACATACATATATATATATATATATATCAATACAAAAATACAAATATATGGAATATATATATATACTTTCTCAGTGGGTACCCTTCCAAAAACAGGAACCCTTTTTCCTTGGGTTCGCGCCGCGCGCACGCGCCAGAATTCCCTCAAAATCAGGCTTCTTTTGGCGTTGGCCCGCGCGGCGCGAACCTGAGAAAAAAAGTCTTAAGTTCAGCCACTCGCTGAGTAAGTATATTATACATATGTTGCATATGTAGATACATGTACGTACATACATACATACATACATACATTACATATATATACATACATATATATATATGTATGTATATATATATATATGTGTGTGTGTGTATTTGTATGCATATATATATATTATACATGTATAAACATATACATACATGTGCATACATATACATACATATACATACATATATGTGACCATATATACATATATACACCTATATAAATACATACATGTATATGTATATATGAATATATACATGTGCATATATCATATATGTATATGTGTACCTATGCATATATATATATATACATATATATATATATATATCCATATGTATATTTACGTTTCTGTATGTATACATGTGTATATGTAATTGTATATATACATATGTATTATATATATATATATTTAATATATGTAGTATAATACATGTAGTATGATACATGATATATAATATGCTATATATATATATTATATTATGTATATACAATATGGTTTATATATATATATTATATTATAGGTATGTTCCCCAAAAAACGAAGACACCGAAATCCTAACTCAGCAAGAACCTGGCTGAAGCCACTTCCCGGGCCTTTCTCCAGTGCCCACGAAGCGTCCCAGCTCCTGGTAACCCCTGGATACAACTTTTTTAAGACATTTGAATCATCGGTAATGATAGATAATTAGTGTAGAAAATAATACTGTATTTCAATGTATGTTAATGTATTTTAGTATATTTTAGTATATTTTAGTATATTTCAATGGATCTTAATTCTTAAGGACAACAGTGTGGCCCCCTCACCTGATCAGATCAACCCGCCTTTATCAACCCGGGGCCAGCGCTCGATGCGTTGATTCAAGGGGCCCTTGGGAAACCTCTAGGAGTTGTCACGATTTTTTCAGGTAGATCTGAAACAACGACCACACGACCACACATCATATACACAAGGTACACAACTAATCTGTGGATATAGAATTAATAGAATGATATGTGCCATGGTCAAAACATGGTACATGATGTACATGGTTTATGGTCGTCCATGGAATACGAATCCTTACTGGCATGAACCTCCTTGGGCGTTCCCCATGGCCATGGCCCAGTTTCCCACTCGCGCGCACCGCTAGGCTGCTGCTCTTGCTGGCCATTTCTGACCTTGAAATATAAGGAAACGCCATGAAACACCTTCAAGGTTGCTATGGATTCACTCTTGAAGTCCAGTTATGGAACCTCTTTGGCCATTCTTTTAACATATCATCCCTTGAGATTGAGACCCGGTGGTTTTCTTGGTTTTGCGACTTCAGAGAGGACGCAGTGGTGGATGTGGGAACGGTGAATCCAAGCCCCACGGGCTTCCCGACTCCGTCCCTTCTGGCGCCTGCGCCGCCCGACGGGGACCTTCCTGCCGGAAAGCAGAAAGATTTAAAAAAAATACACCTATGTTCCGATGGCTCTTGGCTGTAGAAAGCAACAGCCATGTGTATGACCAAGCTCGTGCGACTCACTTCGAAATGACTGCTGTCACCCGCTCAAAAGATCTAAAAAGCATCAATTCGAATGAACTATCCACCATTTAGGTGCCATGGGCCATGGGCCGCCGCCTGAAAACATCTCCAACGAGCAATGTGTCGGGATGCCTCAAGGCTCGGAAGACTCAAAAACCAGAATGAGGTTGTGACCAATAAACATTCAATATTTATCAAAGATCCTAGTCGCGCAATCAAAATAGAAATCACTTTGACGTGGTTCAAAATCAGGAACCAGCAACGGGACCATCATCTTAAAGCAGGGACGGTCCTAGATCAGCTGACACGCGCATCCTGTCAAATGGATTCAAATGGTGTCTCGTCAGATTGCAAGACAATCATCGTAACAAAGGGAGACAAAACGAATACACAAAGATCTTTGTCGAGTCCCAGAAGTGAAAGTCTCTGAATGACGCTGCCTCCAGCAAAACTCTAGAATCTTTCGATAATTTTGCTACCTGGCAAGCACCATGGACAACAAACAAATTTGCAAGATGTACATCCCACAAACTCCTGGACCCGGACGCTGGAACCAATTACCACTTCCAGAAAGATCACCCAACCCAACCACATCCTTCTTGGTTTCATACAGTATGTATTATATATATATGTATATATATATACACACACTACACACATAAATCTGCAAATGTATACATAATATATATATATGTATACATGTATAATTATATATATATACGTATAATGCATAGTGCATACCATTTCCCCCAAAAAAAGTTGGCTCCCATCCCTAGCCATCGGTCTTGGGTCGCTGCGGGGCAAGCAGCCGGGGCCTCGGGTCAGGTCACAG